CCCTCATGTGGGATCTGAACCAGGGCCCTGCTGCTCAGAGCTGGCATCCCAAGCCAACTCATAACTAGCATACCACTCAGCTGGCACCACATCCTTGACAACATTTATTTTCCATTTCTTTTTTTTTTTTTTAATTGGGGAATTGGGCGAGGAGAACAGCGTTGGGAATTGGGGGAAGGGGAACAGACAAGTTGCTGTCGTTTTGTTCTTCAGTTTAGTTGTGGAGGACGTTGCTTCACTGGCCCAAGTTGGCACCATCATTGCGCTCTTCCCAGCGCCTGCTGGCCGCTCACGCTGGCTGCTGGCTACATATGGTAGCCCGTGGCAACCCACTGCAGCAGGGGCTGCAGCCTACACCGTCGCCGGTGACTCATGGCAGCCCAGCTCCAGGTTGAGCTGTTGTTCAGCATCTTAGCTGTGGAGGGCAGTGTCACTGGCCCTTATATGTGGGATCCGAACCGGGGCCCTCTGGCGTCCCAAGCCAGCTCTTAACCAACGCGCCACTTGGCCAGCCCCTCCATTTTTTATAGCTACCTTAATGAGCGCAAAGTTTTGTCTCACTGTGATTTTGCTTTGTGTTTCCCTAATGACTAATGATGTTGAGCATCTTTTCATGTGCTTTTTGGTCATTTGTTTATCTTTGCAGAAATTTTATTCAAGTCCTTTGCCCTTTTTTAATTGGGTTGTTGAGTTATAAGGATTTTTTATGAGTTATAAGAATTCTTTACGAGGAATTCAGCTCCAGGCCAGAATCCTAGGTGTCGTCTTTCAGGCCTGACCACAGGCTTTATCTAGGAGGCTCCACTGGGGGAAGCTGCCTCCCCCATACAGATTCGGAACACAGCCAGTGTATCACGGTCTCCTGGCTGGAACTTCAGGCAGTGCTCAGGCCCCTGGCCCCTGGGCAGCCATGCCCAGATGCATACCTGCATTCCTAGCCCAGGAAATTCCATTTCAAGTCCTTATTAGGGGCTTTGGCTGAAGCAACTCTGCTGAGACCTCATTTTGGAGGCCTTGGCTAAGGTATTTTTCTGTACTCTGACTCAATGCTTTTCCTCTTCTAGCTCTTTTTTGCTGTGGTCTGAATGTCTGTGTCCCCCCAAAATTCATATGTTGAAATCCTGTTGCCCAATGAGATGGTCTTAGAAAATGGTGCCTTTGGGAGGTGATTAGGCCATGAGAGTGGAGCCCTCAGGAATGGGATTAGTGCTGTTACAGAAGAGGGCTCTCGCCAGAATGGGACCATGCTGGCGCCTTAATCTGGACATCCCGGCCCCCAGAACCGTGAGAAATAAATTTATATTGTTTATAAGCCCCCTAGTCTGTGGTATTTTGTTCTGGCAGCCTGAATGGACTAAGACACCCCTTTTCCATCCCTTGGCCCCCTGGGTCCATGAAGAGGCAGGAGTCTTAATGAGACGCTGCTGTCTCCATCTGCACCATGTATCATCTGACCCTCGCCTGGCGCCGCTCAGTGGGGAAAACAGAGCAGCAGGGAGATGGCGCTTTTCATTTGGCCTCTTGCTTGCAGTGTCACAGTAAATGAATCAAGTCTTGATTGTTACTTTTGACTTGTCCTTACCAATCACCTTGGCACCTGGCAGCTTGATGTGTTATATGTCCTGGATATTAAGACCTTATCAGATATATAATTTGCATACATTTTCTCTCATTCTGTAAATTGTATTCTCATTTTCTTGATAGTATTCTTTGATGTATAAAAAATTTTAATTTTGATGAAGTCCAATTTATGTGTTTTTCTTGTGTTGATTGGGCTTTTGGCATCATATCTAAGAATCCATTGCTAAAGCTAAGGTCATGAAGATGTACCCCAATTTTTTTTCTAAGAATTTTATAGTTTTAGCTCTAACAAGTCACCAATCCATTTTGAGTTAATTTTTTTTTTTTTTTTTTTTGTGGAGGGCAGTGTCACCAGCCCTCATATGTGGGATCCGAACCGGGGCCCTCTGGCGTCCCAAGCCAGCTCTCAACCATCGCGCCACTCAGCCGGCCCTTGAGTTAATTTTTGTATATGGTGTGAGGTAGGGGTCTACCTTCATTCATTTGTACATGGATCTCACATTGTCCTAGCACCATTTGTTGAAGAGATTATTCTTTTCCCATTGAATGGTCTTTGCACCCTTGTCGAAAATCAGTTGACCTTATATGTGAGGGTTTATTTCTGGACTTTTAATTCTGTTTCATTGGTCTGTATGTCTGTCTTTATACCAGTACCACACTGTTTTTTTGATTGAAGTTGCTTTTTAGTAAGTTTTCAAAATTAGGAAGTGTGAGTCCTCTAACATTATTTTTCTTTTTTAAAATTTGGCTTTTGGGGTCCCTTGCAATTCTGTGTGAATTTTAAGATCAATTTTTCATTTTCTGCAAAAAAGATTTTTGGGATTTTGTTAGGGATTGCAATGAGTAAATTGCTTTGGGGGAGTATTATTGAGTCTTCCAATCCATGAACATGGGATGCCACTAATTTATATCTTTAATTTCTTTTGGTAGTGTTTTGTAGTTTTTAGTATACAAGTCTTTGGTTAAATTTATTCCTAAGTATAATCTTTTTCATGCTATTGTAAATGGAATTGTTTTTTTTTCCTTTTCGAACTGTTTGTTAGTGTATAAAAATGCAACTGATTTTTTTGTTGATCTTTTATTTTGCAACTTTGCTGAATTTATTAGCACTAACAGTTTTATTTGTGGATTCTTTAGGATCTATAGTGATGATCTTACGTCTTTGTTTACAGTTTGCGTGCCTACTTGTGTGTGTGAGTGTGTGTATGGTGTGTGCACTTAATTGCTGTATAGAACTGCCAGTTAAATGTTGAGTAGAATTGGTGCATGTGGGCATCCTTGTCTTGTTCCTGATATTTGGGGAAAGCTTTCAGTCTTTCACCACTGAGTATGATGTTAGCTATTAAATATTATTTTTACATTAGGATTACGTTGTATTCCATTTTTCTTTCATTTCAGATACACATTGTAAATGTATAGAAAAGTTCAGAGAGTTGTAAGACAAGTATCCATTGTAGGCTTTCTTCATTGTACCTAGAAAGAATTTTGGAAAAACTGCATCAAAAATTGGAATTAGGTCAAATTCACTACTGCCATGCCATTTTGACAAAAATAGCCATAGAAATGAATCAAATAATTGCTGGAATTATTTTTTAATTGATTTGATAAAATTTTCAGTTATTTTGATCTATCTAAGATTTGGTCAAGCAGTTTGATTCCCATAATAGGACAATTTAGAGAAACAGCAGCAGTTTTGCAGAAATCTCATGAGCAACATAGAATTACAGAACTAGAAGCAACCTCCAGTCTTGAGCTCTATTCCAGGAATGATTTAGGAGTTGGGATTGTTTAGTTTGGAAAAAAAGAAATAGGATCACTGTAAGAGACATAAAACATTTGTACTATTGAAGGAAAGGGGGTTAATGACTTTTTGTTCTAATTTAGGCAGACTTGGTCAGATAAATGTGCTTTTTTTTACGCCCAGCATAAAGAAAGAACTTTTGAGCAATTAAGAGATATCAAAATATGTAATGGTGGCCTCTCACAGTTGTGCCTGGTGAGATGACTCACTGGAGATGTTGCAGAATGGCAGGCAAAGGTGTTTAGGTACCCCCACATTTAATATTCTGCCATTCTACATATAAGCTATAGGGAAAAGGAACTCAAGATAGATTCAAAGTTTAGTTACCAAAGGAGTTTTTTTCATATGTGGAATAAATAACCAAGAACAGGGACAGGACCTGCCCTTTTTGTTTCATTTTTAAGTTTGAAGAAAACACTTATAACTCTCCCATTTTGGATCTCTTAAGCAGAGTCTCCTGAAAGTCATTTTTGAGTAGTTGTGAAGAATTGGCAGCAACATAACACTAGTTGTAAGCAATCTAAATATAGAAAATAGTAGGACTAGAGTAACACAAAGCCAAAAGTCAGGTTTTAATCAGCCTCACAAAAACCACACAGCTTCAGGAATTGAGGGCTGCTCAAAATATGGTGTATTTAGTTTTGCCGTCACTACTCCCTCTCACTCTATTCCCTGAGTTCTGTTTGACTTTGTTTTCCTTTGTACCCCACATCAAGGGATCCATGCAGAGGGGGTGTGCAGTGGGCAGCAGTAGCTAGTGATCCTCCCACACCATGGAGATGGCTCGGGGTGATCTTAGAAGGCAGTAAAAACAGTGTAATTTACGTAATACAAGTAACGGTCATTTCTAGAGTACTTACTATGCCAGGTGCTGTAGTAGATGCTGGGTATTCTTCATAAACTTATATAGACCATCTCCCAGTAGATTTCAGTAGATTTCCTTCCATGAGATTTGCACTCTAGACTCTTGAGAGCCCAGCTCGGTGTCATCTTAGGTAAAACTGTGCATAGGCATGGCGTGTATTAGGCATTACCCGCTGCTTCCCCACCTCCGATTTAGAGTAATGAGTATTATTTTGTTAACTGCTAGGTAAGTTATTTCAGCAATTCTTTTTAAGAGTCGAAGCTCTGTCAACGTCCTATCTTCTGTCCAGTGTCTGTTCCTGTTGGGAGCTACACTCTCTTAGTAGCCTCTAGTCTAGCTGTTCTTTAACTCCCAAGCTAAATGAGATAAAAAATATACGATCTACTCCCAAGCATTGCTAACCCCTTGGATTAGAACATTTTAACATCAGCCCATCTCCTGCCCGGAGAGGGAGACCATACAAAGGGCAGTTTTCAAGTATCCAGCTTTGCTTGTTGGCAGCAAGTCTTCCATGAGAACCTGTATTCCTGGATTCTAGGAATTGCATCAGGACTCGCTGTGTTGCTTGTCTGAGAACTGTGCTAAGTGTTTATCTTCCCATGTTGTTTGTGCTAAAGAACCACAACTCAGTATTTTATTGCAAATATCAAAGAATGTACTTCAAATCCCATTGTTATCCTGTCGAATTATGATTTGTTCCTGTGTTTGAGCAGCTAGCGGCCTTGCAGGATTTAACAGCTCTTTATCTCCTAGGGAAAAGTTAACCATTGGATGCCGCCAGCTGGTGGAGATGGAATACACCATGCAGCAGTGCAATGCCTCTGTCTACATGGAGGCCAGGAACAGGGGATGGTGTGACGACACGCTCAACGATAGGCCTAAGTGCTGATTTGTAACTTCAAAGGAATTGCATTTGTTTTCGGGAACAACAGAGTAGCTGTCAACCCTTTGAGCCAAACCCAAGAGACGTGCAAGCAATGTCTCATAGGTATAAAAAGGTGATTGCCTACTGCTGACAGACAGCCTCACTGATTGCCTACTGCTGACAGTCTCACTGAGGTTCTCTAAAAGCCTGGTGCATTGTGGGATATGCCGTGGGCTCCACTGCTCTGAAGTTGACTCCACCTCCCTACTTCTGCCGCCGACGCTGAGCCAGTCTGTCTAAGGAAAGGAGAGCCGCCAGTTTAGTCGTATTCGGGCAGGAGCCACTGTGGCCTCTGAGGAAGGCACCGCATTAGCCCCCGCCTCAACCCTCAATATCGTTACCTGACCAGAGACACTTCCAGGCTCCAAGAAAGAATTAGGGCATGACCGGCCGTGCTCACCACATTCCGCAAATGGGACCTTTCCCTGGGCCGTCTTACGATCTGAGGGTTTTCCATATAGACCTGGTGACTATAATTCACATCCCTTCCACTTCCCCCAAGGTGTTGAGAATGGAGTTTTGACTTCAGCTCCAACTTGCCATAACAGCCTCTCTCCTCCCCTAGGCTAGTCACTTTCCAATGTGTTTCTAACGGGCAGAGCAGGGAGACCCCGTGGGAGTTTCCCCTCACCTGTGAAGCAGCTATGAACTTGCGGGATTAGATGGCAGGGACCGATGTTGGCCCCTAGTTGAACCAAGTGTTTAACTGACTTATGGGTTATACAACAAGTTGGAAATCCTTGTTTACTAGAATATATTATGCTTTTGTTAATAGATTAGAGTAAATCGAATTTGGTATTCTATTCTAAATGTTAATTTATTTTTGAAAACAATAAATTATTTTTAGTAAGAGTTTGTTTCATTTGACTTCCAAATTGTATTCCTGAGCTGTGTACAAGGTATGATGATAAGTGACCATCTCCAATAAAAGAGAACACAGTTAGGATTCTGACTAGTGGTCTGTGCCCGACCCACTACTTGATGTTTGCATAGGAAGCCACGTATTAACCGCGGATGGAGACTCTTCAGCATCTCTGCTCTTGGCCTCTTTCCTTCCCTAGGAGCCAAAACATCCCCTCCCCCACCAAAAGAACTTGGTTCAGGTCTTTCTCTCTTAACTGCTTCCGGTCATTGCTATTTGGTTTTGGCTCTGCTTTGCTACCTTCCTCTCTTTTTTCTGCCTTTTTCCTATAGGTTATGCTTTTTAGAGAATTTCTTTTCACTCCTATCACCTGCATACTTCTACATAGTTCATCTTTTATTCATGTAGATTTTACTTTTATCTTAGTCTGTATGTCTTTTACTTGGTGCATTCATTTGTCAGTGATTTCAACATTCCTTACATTTCATTGGTATGTGAAGATGTTTTCTTCTAACTTTACAGTCTCATTTTTTATTTTGATTTAGAAACATTCTTTAAAATTTTTTGATCTTTGTTTCTTTGAAATGTCAAGTTTGGGGTTTTTTTTTTCTATCCCTTCTTTGCTGCCTTCTTTTCCTGATCTTAAATTTTATCCTTTTTTTTTCTGGTAGCCCATTGCAGGAGTTGAGGGTCCCCTTCCCTCTCACCCCCTACATTTTCTTTTCTGGGTCCCCCCCCTCTGGATTGGAATAACTCAGTTGATACAAGAACCAGAAGCCCCACCTTTAAAACTTACATTTTTTGTTTTAATTTTTTAAAATTTAAGTATAGCTGGGATACAAAGTTAGATTAGTTTCAGGTATTAATATAGTGAGTGATTTGACAAGTATATCCCTTGCAATGTGATGATCACACTAAAACCTAGTAACCCTCTGTTACCATGTACACTTACCAGTGTTACTGAGTGTATTCACCTTTTTCAGTCATCCCCCACACCCCACTTCCCCTGGCAACCATCAGTATGATCTCTGTTTCTATGAGTCTGTTTTTCTGTTCTGTTTTTTTGTTGTTGTTTTAGGTTCCACATACAAGTGAATCTGTACGGTATTTGTCTTTCTTTGTCTGACTTATTTCTCTGTCTGACCTACCTCACTTAGCAAGCATAATACCCCCTAGGTCCGTCCATGTTGTCCCAAGTGACAGGAGTTCATTTTTTAAAAATTTTATTTCTGAGTAATATTCTTTGTATGTGTATATCTTCTTTATCTGCTCCCTTATCCATGGACTCCTAGGTTGCTTCCATATCTTGGTTATTGTAAATAATGCTGCAATGAACAATAGTGTTTTCGGGTTCTTCAGATAAATACCCTGAAGTAGAATTGCTGGGTCATATTATACATCAATTTTAGTTTTTTGAGGAATCTCCAGTTTTCATAGTGCCTGCTGCGGGCAATTGGGATGCCCAGATTAGAACTTCACATGTGGATTAATGTCACTTTCCTATCGTGGTCTTTGCCTGTTGCATGAAAGACAGGGGACATGAGACAAAGCTAAAGGTCTATTTTGATCTCTTGGCCATCTTAAGGGAGACACCCTTTCCCCCTTTCAGGGTTGATCCAGGTTCATCAAGATAGTGTTTTGGTCTACTTCCAGAGCCTAGGTTATATTGCTCATATTACTTCTGACAACTTCCCCAACCTGATAACTCCCCCAACCCACCCATCTATTGGAACCCTTTTCAGATCCCTATTGTGAGTTGGGATGAATTCACCTTTTTCTTCTTAGAGGGAATATAGCTAACTATTAAATAATCAAATGCATCTTCTACCTTCGGAAGTGATGCCACCCATAGTCCTTTTCTGATTTAGATTGGACCGTTGGGCCAGGCCTCCTCCCAGTTAGTGGTTCTTTGGCTATTTTGCCAATAAAACCAACTGTTGAAAATCACTCAGCTCTGTGAGCTTGAGCAGAAAGAATTACCAGCTATGAACCTGGGTGGTGAGGTGGTAGACACCCACATCTGTTACTAGCTTGGCTCAGTGTTCCTAAGTACAAACCAGTTTCCACATCCTATTCTTTTCTCAGCCTTGGCAGCTCTGTTGTAGACTACTGGTTATGGGCTTACCTCCATTAGCTCGGTACATAACCCTTGCACGGCCAGTGGCAGTAAAAGGTTCCCTGATGTGATTTATAGTGAGGTAAAACAGGGACATACATGTCCTAAGCCTTTTAAGCCTTTTCCTTTCAAGGTTTGGTACTTTTTGGGTTACGCTAGAAAGACACAACTTTTTTTTTACTTAAGTGTGGTTTTTTCAGTTTTGTCAAACACAGTCTATCACCAACACAATCAAGATATGACTTCATTGCTTTCCCCAATTTCCTTGTGCCCCTTTGTAGTCAACTGCCATCCCCACCTGAGGAAGCCATTGACATGTCTGCTATCCTTGTAGTTTTCTTTTCTGGAATGCTCTATAAATGGGCCTTTCATCTAGCATGCGTCTGCGATCCATCCATTCTTTCAAGCCTGTATCTTTAAAGACCTGGTTCCACTTTTGGTTTAGACAAAACACTTGCTTAATGTATAAGGTAAATCTTATGACTGAGCGGATGGCTGGCTGTTTGGTAGATTCTTTTAGCTTTTAATACAGCATTCATTACCTTCATTTGTGGTATATTTCACTTCATCCCTTAAGTTTCATTGTCTCATTCAAGTTTGGTATCCAGTGTGTTTTTTTCCAGGTTAACATTACTCCCTTTGCTCACTCTGAGCAAATGTGTAATCCATCTATGCCCTTTGTAGATTCCTGTATTTCCACAAGCAATCAGACCTACACATACCCAGCTTAACAGCTTTTGCTTCTATTTATTCTAATATATATATATATGTATTTTTTTAATATCACTTTTATTTTTGCTTCCCACTCTTATTCAACCCCCAAAAGTGATGGCGCTATTAATAGTGAAGTTTAAATATTTTGTTGGCCATTGTGCCAGTAGGTTGAAGAACCCACAGCATGCGCACGAGTACATGCCTCTCTTGATCAACTACTTGCTGCTCAATGTATCATTGTAAGACTCGAGAAACTTCTGGCTTTATTGTAAGGAAATTGGTGCGTCACGTAAATTCCTTTTTAACCTACAGTTGGTTTTTCTTGATTTTAAAAAAATTGAGTAAATTGGACATGTAACATTTTGTAAGTTTAGGTGTAGTGTTACTGTGATACATTTATGTATTGTAATGACTGCTGTGTATATTTATCACATTACATAATTATAGTACATTATCTATCCTCATTACACTGTGCATTAGATCTCTGGCTTACTGCTTGTACAAGTTCATACCCTTAAACACCTTGACTCACCACCACCACCAACCTCCATCCCATTTTACTGTTTTTTTTACAGGTTTGGTTTTTTTAGATTCCACATATGCAGTACTTGTCTTTGTCTGTCTTGCTTATTTAGCATAATGTGCTAAGAGTCCATCCATGTTTTAGCAAACGGGAGGATATCCTTTCTCATGAATGATTTAACTTACCTAATAAGGTCTCCTGTTCACAGGACCAAATCTGTGGCTTGGCCTTACTATTTAAGATTCGTATATTGGTGTTTCCTTGTTTTTCTTTCACTTTTACACCTAGTTAATTTACCTTATGTCTGATGTCTCAATGAATGTCTCTTCAAATCCTTTTGTGGAACAAAGTAGGATACAAATAAATGACCTACTATAGAGACTGAGGTCGAGTTGCAAAACTATCCTCTACAGATACTTTCTCCTTCGCCTACTTAAGAATTCTGAGGTCCAAAAAGATTAGAGGGGACACACCTAGGGTGTTAAGCAAGGATTCTAGCACTGTATTAGTCCCAAATCCAGGTTTTTTCCTAAAATATGATTATGTAAGGAATTCTCAAAACTTGTTAAGTAATGGTCAAGTATGTATGACATACTAGTAGTCAAATCAAAATCCCACCTTGAAAGTCACAAGATTCATGCCTGAGGTATAACCAATTGTTTTAATTCCAACAGGTATTTTATAGTTTTGCTGTTTTAGGAATCTAGTATGTTTTATGCATTATTACAACCAATTGCAAGAGTGGTTATTTCTAAATTACTCCAAAACCCACACTGGTAAAAAACATTTTTAATTATGCTGAGGCTATGCCACATTTTCTCCTTTCAAGAAAACATGTACCTTTTAGAGGTGGACAAACAGTAACAACTCGTCACTGAGCACTGATTTTTTTTTTTTTGTCCTTTATGGAAGTTTCTTATATTCAAAACATAATTTTAAAGAAACATCATTTTAGCCACCAAATTACCTGTTTGGCATCAGTGATAATACAGGAAAACTTTGACCCAAAGTAATCTCACACATTATTTACATTGTTACTTAGGAACTGAGAAGTAATGTCAAGGATTTTTACTGCTACATCCCCTAACTAAAATTTCATTTCCTGTGCTACATGGAACATATACAGAGCCATTTAAACAAGTTATATGAGGCCACTGCAAATCTAGTGTTAGTCCAGAGCAACCAGCCAGCAAAGAGAAAGTCAGGAGCCAGCCCCCAGCTGAGCTGATTTCCTTTCTTGGGGGTGTTTTGTGGAAATAAGGTATCAGAGTACCCACGGAACATTTGGAGAATACCTCTTTCTTCCTAACCCAAGTTAGTTAGCCATTGGCTAGCCATTTTGTCCCAGTCATTAGATTTGTGTTCTGCTTCGTGTTCTCTAAGAAACCTTAAAACCAAACATCAGTCCTTATTTCAGATGTAAGATGCCAGGTGAATACTTTTTCACAAATACTGGAAAAAATGTTTCCCCCAAACTTTTGGTAAGGAAGGAGTACACAGATAACATCTGGATGTTAATCCCATAGTGCAAGGATTTCCTGCTAAGTACCTTTAAGATGTTTGCATGAGCAGCAGGCAGTAGGATGTGCTTATTTTG